AATGCTGCGGCGAGAGCCCTCCCAAACGAAAATGGGCAAAGACGAAGGAGCCACGGTGCACGCCCAATTCAGCTCACGCAGTGGAGGAGATACAAGGTCCACGATGGTCTGGGGACATTCCGGAGATAGGTAGTAAAAGAGCTTCAGCTTTGGCTTTACATAGCCTGAGCTAGCCTCGGCAATGTGTCCGTTCGAGAATTCAAGTTACTGACACATGCCGCACCTGCAGTCATTTACTTCATGTCCTCTTGTATTGTATCTGCCAGCTCTCTGCATATTACCGTATTACCCAGTAACAATGTACATCTCGAAGTCCCCCTCAGTCCAGCAGAATAAAGCTTCAGGTGGAAGGAGCACTCCGCAGTCAGCATGCTTTCCAGTGCTTGGGTGGCTTCTCCTCAGTTCATTTTGGATCAAGTCTGGCACCTGCCACACCCTCATAATGTAATGGGAGCGTACTGAAGCCGATTGGCTATGGTTGGCCAGCTAAAGTGTTAATGTTGCCGGGTCCATCTTTGCAGCTCAATGTCAATATCTCTTCCCAACCGGCAGGTAGCCATCTTGACCGCTGTTCTGCAGGAAAGCTGTGCACGGTTTTCGATTCCTCCCAGAAGGCATCTGTCAAAAAAATTGGTGGTCAATGGTGCAGTAGGTGACGGTATCAAAATCAAAGACTTCTATGTGGCCAAGGGTAAAACTAAACAATCGTTTAAAGCCACACATTGAGTTCGTTGGCTGACTTGGCTAGAGGCTGACGTGCAAACGGAAACGTTTAAGGAGATGGTCCTCATCTTCGCGATTCACAGGGTCAGGTGCCTGACTTCGGGATTGCAGCCTGCGGCTGAAAGCCATGGCAAGCGGCGCAAGAGATGCAACATATCACTGGTCTTCTGTCACAGTGCCTCATTATGATTATGCTTGGGGGTATTCAAGCCACCTCAATACTACAACTGATTCTTGATTTAAATGGCTATATAATGGTACTTAGGGCAGTATGGACTACTCACATCCACATCCAATTTGTTTACTCCATACATGTTGCACATGCCGCTTCTCATGCAGGCAGGCAAACTCAGCAAACGCTGCAATAGGCAAACTCAGCAAACGCTGTAATGGCTCATCGACAACACTTCAATGATGCACAAGTGGATTGAAAGCAGGAAAGCTCAAATCCTGAGCTGCGGGGATTCCTAGATGCCGATCATTCTTGGCAACAGCTTGGTGCTGCAGGCTCTGAGCGCATCCTTTTCATCGTGTTCACCCGCGGCAGCGACGTCAGAAAGAGCCCAAAAGCTGAGCATCCGCCGCTGATCAGAGCAGAGATGCTGGACCATGCGCAGTACCTCCAAAGCTTTGGCTCTCTTCGCCTTGGATCAACTCATGGCTTGATACTCTAGCAGCAGGTTTTTGCAGCTTGTAGTTTAGCAATACTTGGCAGGCCTTGGCATAGAAAACTAGGAACCGTTTCCACCATTCATGCGAAGAATCTGTCACAAAAGCATCTCCGTCTGGGTCCTTGCATCTAGTGCCTTCCTGTTGCTAAACTAGACCACTAACTACCTACTTCCTTAATCTCTTTTTGTATACTTCCACCCCGTTCGCAGTCTACCCCTTGAGAAAAACTTCAATGCTGCACCTCAGTGAGCGCTGTCTGCAGATTCAGAGTCTCCTCCACCTACAGGGTCGGCCGGCAAAACAAGCTTGAGCACCATTGTGCCAATACACGCAGATAAACGGAGGCATGTGCACGATTGCATTTATAGAATATCAGTACTGTATATGCGATTTTGTATGAAGGTGCTTCAGGCACAGGCATGCCAAAATATTTATATATAGAGAGAGAGAGAGACTCGTGATATTTGCAGCTGCTAATCATTTGCGTTTGGCTAGGCGTGGTCTTGTAAACACCCCCAGCTCTCAGACAAAACTGAAAAAGCAGTATTTCTCGCCAAGTCATCCAGCTGAGTGTGCACGCTTGTCCACTTGATTGATGACACAGAAAAACAAACGAGGCACACAAACAAGAATGCTATGCTTGTCTCCATGCAGCTTCGAAGAGCTCTTGTGACTTACATGAAGAACCTGCCGCCTTGGCCAGGAGGTTTGTCACTGATGGGCCAGGAGGTCTATCACTCTCTGACCTACTCTGGGACTCGCCGCAGCAAATGCGAATGATGACATTGGACTCAAACTCCATTTGCCTCGCTTTGTGCTTGGCCTGAAGTATTGATCGGACAGCCGGTTCTCCACCGGGAATGTGCTGCAATAGAATCAAGGGATGCGCATCGGTGTTCGGTTGCTCTACTTCTCGAACTTCTCGTTCAGCTCTCATTTCCATGCTTCTCTGCTTGGTTGCATCGGCTGCCATGTCAACTGAAGGACCTTCAGCCACCGCCTCCTCTGCTAAACGGGCCACCCATTTTTCGAGCGCTATCAACAGGAAAAGCTGGCAGAACTCTTGCACTCGCAAATCCCCTGTGTCAGGCCATAAGCCTTTTGACATAAAGAACTGCTCTGGTGATGGCAAAACCTCAGGCAAATTCAAGGTATGGTGTCGAATTTGCCAGGATGCACGTGTCAAACGTTGTAACATGTGTCCGGGAATGTCCAGGACATATTCTTCTTCAACATGAATGCATAGAAATTACCAAACAAATTGAACTTGCAGCCAAAATGGTTGTCTCGGACATGCACCTGTTCAGCCGTGAAAGTGCACAGCCTCGCCAAGCTGGAAGCTTTGAGCGTCTGACTTTCGGAGCTTGGCCTGTCAAGCTTCGGTAAGTCACACAACAAACCAAAAGGCACCTGAGACTCTTGAGCTGTCCTTGAGCTCGCCAGCTGCTGTTTCCAAGTGCTTCGAGCCTTGTCAGCAGCCTGCGACACTTACATACACGATGAAATAGAGTGCGCTCCCAACAACTAACTTCTCTTCAGGTCTCTCAGCATGCCGGCAACTGTTTTCAGCCAAGTGCATGGTAGTGCCTCTTTGAGAGATTGCTCTCTGCTCCTCGTCTGCGTCCATTCCGAGCGAAGCTGACGCCACTGCCACCACTTCTGGTAGTCAAAGTCGAGCTCCTTCTTCGGGGTCGACACAAAGAGCTCGCGAAATAATTATCGATGTCGAATTCTTTTGAGGGCAACATCACCGGCGAAACGGCAAAAGCAAAGAGTCCTGACTGCCTTTTGCTGACGGTCTTGTCTTCCTTTGGGCAGGGAGCGAGCAACGGGAGTGGTGGTGAACCCGCGCTCGTGCGTATGTGTGTGTTTTACGCACTGCACCTTATACGAGTTGTTTTCTAAACCCACTTAGGGTGTAATCGTTCTAAGTTAGGACGTCCCGTATCGTTTTAAGCGTTTCGAACAGGGACTCCGTAGTTATATAAATACTATATATATATGTATATGTTACTTATTTTTGCAAGGTGTTGCAGAGTGCGCACATTGACTTCCAAGGACACATTGCATGTAGCAATAGGGGTATCGTGTCCGTGTGTTGGACGTCCCGTATCGCTCTCCACGGAAAACTCTCACTGCATGAACCGCCGCCGCCCTTGTAACTTAATACAGTAAGCAACGGCATTTTTGAAAGCAACTCATATACAGTACATGTCATATTCAGTGCGTTTCAACTGAGGCACCTGGTTTAGTCTTGAAACCACGTCACTTAAGGATCTGCATATGGTGTTGACATCTTTCAGCGCATTGGACCATTAATAGGGCAAACGATGACAAAACGAAGGGAAAAGGCAAAAGCAAGGAACAAATTGCTTTGAACCATGTCGCTCCAAAAGCCGTTCCGCATGGGCACAGCATCGAGCCAGGCCATTGGCTTCCACGGTGCATGCCTTCCAAACGAAGTAAACAAGAAAAAGCCTTTCTTCAAAGCATCAAGCCCAGCGTGCTCAACCCGAGGTGATGGAAATCACCCATCCTAGCATTGACTAATTACATATTGCGTTCTACTTCCGGTTTACTCCTTCAGCTGCTCTAGTCACCTCCAGCTGCCCTTGAAGGAAGTGCTGGAGCTCACCCAGCAATTCATCAATGCACCCATCTCTTGCCATGGGCGTTCTGGTTGGGAAACTTAGCGGCTAAGAATATACTATGGCGGCAAAGGGAGGATGCCCTAATTGTCTGTACAGTAGCGTAGCATTCCACAACTATCAGAGTCTCTGAAGCACATTCTCCGTCGAGCACTCTCTGCCCACACTACACGAAGGATGGAAAACTTGCAGCTCTATATATATATATATTTTTAGTTTGGCGGTGTCACGGCTATTTAAAGTGTCTATGTACATTCAAAGGAGTTGTTTGCTCTCCAAGGCTTTCTTCTAGTCCAGTGCTTAGCCTATTGTTAAATCCTGTTAAGAAGATCAAATGGCTGAGGGGAGGAAACCACGGTCCAGAAACTGTTTGATTGAAGGGCTACTGACTAAGGCAGCTGCTGCCTTGCTGGTAAGGGCCCGACAGTGCAGCTACGGCCTCTTCGTTTGGCAGCTCCAGACCGACAGCTGCTGGAACATCCTGGAAACACAACGGTTCGGTGCGGCAATCCAAATATCGAGAATGTGCGTCAAACCAGAATCGCAAAGAATGTGCGCACAGCAAGCAAATCATCTCACATCTCGCGTTCTGTATTGGACCAGAAGTGAGGATCTTGACTCTATCCTCCGGCGTGCTCTCTCCACGCTCGTGGCCTCAATGAACTGGTCTGATTTGATTGCTGGCTAAAGCCCTTAAAGAAACCTTTCATGCATCCACAACATGTTCATTTACCTGTCTAAAAGGATTATATACACTATATTGAGCAGATTGTTCTGAAACTCTGACGTGTTTTGGGCATTGGTCTCTGCTTCTGCAGCGTATCAGGATGCAGCTGCGCTCTCATTTTCTGGTGCCCAAATGTTCTGGATTGGGCCAGGGCCAATGGCCGAGCCTTTCTTTCAGTGCCCAGATGTAAGCCTTTGAAGGCTTCAACTGCCCTAGAGTCTGCTATAGCCCTATTCTGCGCAGCTGATTGGCTCAAGGTCATGAACCTGGCAAAAGCCCATAGTCCACTTACATGCCAAGGTGTCAGTCTTGTTGGTATGAGTGTTCTTCCTCAAATGGTCATGGCACACTCTCGCAATTAGTGTTTCGCGCGCATGGTCCGGCATCAACGGGTGGGGACGGGAATAGTAGGACTGAAGGGTAAACAAGGTCCAAAACAGCTAGCACACCTTTGCACACAGCACAGGTGCATATTAGTGCTGAAAGAGTCAGCTTCACATAGTTCTTCTCGCACGCGTCCTTCAACCAAGTCAACACATACAGCATACATATAGACGTTCTCAGTTGTCGGAACTATAGGTGAATCTTAAAGCCTCTGCCATCCAAATCCTTTTGAGAGTTTGACCCTCAAATTCTTGGGGTACCGGTCCTTGCTGAGCTGATTGCAGCCATCCTTCACCTCAGTCTTCTTGCGGAAGGTAGGGCACCTGAAGTCTTCACAGCAAGCATCATCCGTCGCGGCCACAACACCTTAGATAGGTGCCTACAGAAGCAGAACAAAACAAAATCATGTTTCTGTTTCATTTTTGACACAATCTAGGCGTATACTACTTGACAAAAATGGCATCCTCACCCTTGCGTTATAAGCCAGGCAACTCTTTGCATCGGGAATATTCACGGTGCCCGTGGAGCATGGGTACAAAGAGCAGGACTTTTTGCAGCAAACATCTGCAGTTTGTCCCACCGTCTTATTTGCATCAGGGTTGGGGGCAAAGTCCCCGGTGCATTTTGGCTGGTACTGGATACACTCGGGCAGGCAGCAGGTTAAGTCATCAACACCTCGGCCCCAAGCTTGCTTGATTCAAACGACAACCTACCCTCAAGTTGAAGCATGTGGAAGCAAAAAAGAATTGCCAAATTGCAACTAAGAATCCAATATTTGTGCTGGCCGCGGGGTTTTTGGCCCAACCCGCCGAACACTGAAAGATCTCACAGGTCCGGTGGCAGCAAACCTGCCAAATGCACTTCCAACACAATCAAGGCGAATTCCTACAATTGCTGTGGCCTCGTCGGTGTTTCCCACAGCAGCAGCCTCCCAAGAAAGGAAAGTCCAGCTGCTAGGTAAGGAGCTAAACACGCAAAAACTGGAGGAGGCATGCAGCTGCATGCTGCCAGTGATGGCGAATCAAAGCACGCACATGATTACATACGCGTATATGATATAATCATCTGCCGGCCTTGGAAATGTCAGTCACCCAGCCGGCACCGCACACATGAGAGCTGCAAAGCGGCTCACAGCACTCCTTTGTCAGAAAAGATTGGGGGATGGCGCGGTGGGATAAATAGCACAGCCAAGCGCAAAATCTTGTTGAAGCAAATGATCTGTGTCACCAAGGAGCTGTTTTCCTGGCATCCATGTTCACCTTTGCAGGGTGGGTCCTTACAGGTGACCGACCCAACCAACCAATATCCTTGTTCCTTCTGTGTTGCCAAGTTGTACCACTTCTCTGGCACTCAATGCACAGTTCCATCCAAGGTTCTTATACCCTGTAGGGCAAACAACACTTGAGCAGGTTGCAGTGCAGCAGGTCTCATCACTTACACGTGTCAGGTGCGCTTTGGCCTCTGCCAAGTGTGCTGCCAGCAGAAAGACATTATAACTACAGTAACCTTCAAGCAAATTGTATAAAGCTACTGATCTCCAGGTGACTACACAAACAAACTGAAACCAAGGGGCGATGTCCAAGGTGAGACCCTTCATGATATCACATGTGTAGGCTTGACAGGTTGGCTCACAGCAAAAGCTCTGAGCATCTCCGTCGGGGTATACTTCATTCTTGTTTGCCCTGGCACGTTTTTTCTCACCAGTAGCAATGAATTGTTGCATATATATATATATCATCGTATACGTTATATGTGTATACTGTATATGTATATGTGCGACAAAGTATTCTCCACCTGCTCTCACTATGGTCACTAGTGTGTTAGCATCAAACATGCAAGGCTGGCCCTATAGGCACAGTGAATGGTGCACATTGCACATCTTTGCAGGTATCTTTGCAGCATTCCTCGGCAATATTGAGTCACAGAGTCCACTCATGGTGGCAGAATTGGGTTCAACATAACAAGTTGTCACTGTGCCATGGGCGAGTCATTGTGCGCAAAAACGATTGCCTCGGCAGTCTTGCCCGCAGATTCTCTGAGATCGATCGGCACCTTGCAGCCGTTCAGAGGCAAGGACGAAGCATTGCGATGTGTAAGTGGAAGGCCAAATACGAATTCCCGCCTTCTTTCCCACTGGGCATTTAACTGCGGCACAGGTCTGGTCACAGCACTGCTCGTTGGTTTTGCCAACGTTGCGCTTGTAAGCTTGATTTGCCACCTTGGTTTCTGGATGTCACTGCGTGTCAATGTTTAGAGTTCCAAACGCTTTCGGATGCTTTTGGATCTGCCTCATGCAACGTTCAAGTAGCACCAACTGAGTTGTGCACGAAGTTCCCAGTGCATGTGAACAACTCGCAAGTCTGTTGGCAGCACTCCATGTCTGAGTCGCCCTTCAGAGTGTGATGGTTGAACTTAGGAATGTAGCCCGTACCGCAGGCATGAGCAAAACCTGCTCAGGAACGGCGTTCTAAACCCTTGGAAAACATCATGGATCACTTTGCATGGCTTAAGGCATCCAAGCGTCAATCACCTTCACCTTCATCAACAAGGCTGGCTGGCACCTGCACCAGGATTGCCATCGCACGTGCTTGCCGCTGAGCAGAAGGCAAGTACATCCACAGCAACCAGAAGTCGGCGAAGCACGGCGAAGTTGAAAAAGTTAAAAAGGCGATCTTTTTAAGGAACTGGAACTCTGTTGGTACAGTTGCCTTCAGTGCGAGAACAGGCTGAGAAGAGAACACCACAGCGGCAGCAGCAAGCACCTGGTGTAGGCAAAAAAACAGATTTGTATCAGTCAGTTTGAAACGCGCTTCTCAGGTGTGAGCCTGCTTCATAGTGCCCAGGCTCGCAGCTCAATTGAGCAGCAACTACGTTAAGGGTCTGCTAAGAGCAAGCAGAACTGCAGCCGGCCAACGTTGACAAGTGATGATCCTAATGATCCTTCCATATCCTTCCAATCTCTGCATGTCTGTCAGCCTGTCGGTCCTTTCAACCGTCGGTCCGTCCGTCCGCCTGCCCATCTGTGTGTGTGTATGTATGTATGTAACACAATGTATGTGTGTATGTATGTGTTGTGTATGTATGTGTGTATGTATGT